GCGGGAGCACTGCCGCGCTTCCCAAGTGGCGCACTACAGCAGTGCGCCACCGGGCCGGCCCAATGATTTCAATTTAATTCAAGGGGATTATTCTCAATAGCAACTGCTTCATTTTCTTTCTAATCAGTATCCAATTTTCAGTTACGAAGTTCGGTGATCTTTCATGCCACTTATTTTTAGCCAAAATAATATTGTTAATGGATTTAATGCAAAAGTGGTCTCAATATATTTCTTTTTATTGAGAATGAGTTAATATTAAAGGGCTGCAATATAATATTCTTAACTGACAGTGGCCAGATATGGTATATACAGGTGATCTAATTTAAAAGAGAGGAAGTAATGAAATGTGCTAAGACTAGAACTTTACAAGTATGATTGACCTTTTTTTAAAAAATGATTTGGAAGGTACTTCAAAGTCTTTCTGTGACTCAGAGCAAGATATTAATTTTCAGGAGTTTGCTTCTCATTTGTCTGTTTGAGAAAAAGCAGAATAAAGAATGCATAAAAATTCAGTGGCCTTTTGAGCATGTTTCGAACCTTAAACAAGGGGGATCTACAGTATTTTGCTAGAGAATAAGGAGATGCTTGATATGAAACACATTTTAAGGTCATGAATTTTTTGGTTGTTTTTGAACTTTGCAGATACACCGAGGAGTGAAAGGATTCGTCCGAGACCTTCAAGGTAACCCAATTGCCAATGCAACCATCTCCGTGGAAGGAATAGACCATGACGTTACATCTGGTGCGTGTTTTTTGCTACGATCTGGAGGCTTCTAGAGTTATGTACAAGAGCATGATTACTTATTATCATAATTATAATTCTTATACAATTGTAAGCAAAACAATGAAACGCCTCAAGTCTCTTTAGAACGCCTCTGCCCCAGCTTTGAAGTTTCATTTGAGGGAGCAGGTAGGTCAGACCCGGTGGGACTCAGGACGGCGGCTGTGTTTAGAACTCGGTGCAGCAGGTGGCGCCCTTTCCTGCGCTCTCACCGCAGAGCTGCGAGGTGGTGCCGTCCACGCGGCTCCTCAGGCAAAGGAAAAAGAACTGGCTGCAGTTGAAATAACACAGACTTTCTAGTCACCAAGGAGAAGTGCTCACTAGCCGGGAACCGGTGGACACGGGGGTGGGGGGGGGGAACAGTAGGAAAGAAGATAACTGCATCTGCACTGTGTGTCTAGGAATTCTATGCATTTCTTTGTTTGATCCATATAGTAAATATAGGGTTATTCAAGGCTAACTAGGATGCTGTGGGATTGGGGTGTGATGTTAGTTATTTCTAAGGCCCATTTTCCCAAACTGGGAAAATGATGCAGTTTCCTGGCAAATCTACCTACTCCTGTTCATAAACATCTATCCAGCTCTGTTTAGTTGAACTGTCATTTGGTGGAATCTTTTCAATAACAAAAACAATATATTTTTTAGCCATAAACTTTTTACAATATTTTTGGACCTTATAATCAATTAACCTTTATCTTTTTCCTAAACCACTCTATATCATTACCTCTTTCTTAACCTCCATATTTATAGCTTGGATTTTTAAAAAAAATTACAGTTGTCCTCTAAAACTCCATTTACTCATTCATTCAACAGATATTTGTCACCAACCCTAAGAGCGTGCCTTACAACCAGTGTGCCACAATCTATTGTTTCCTCAGCCCTCAGGGAGGGTGAAACCTGGGTGTTGATACCCTCTCGCCACAAATATTATTTTCTCAGCATTCCGTGATGTGAAGAACTTGGGAAAATATAACCTAGGGAATAAACATGTAGAAAGGAATGAAATCTGAGGACTGGGCTCTAGGACACTCCAGCTTTTCAAGGACACGGTGATAAGGAAGACCTAGCAATGGAGTCTAAGGCAGAAAGAAAACAAAGTGTGTTGTCCTGGAAGCCTAGAAGTGTTTCATGAAGGAGGGAGTGATAAAAAATGTCAAGGAAGGTGAACTTTTTGAATGACCCATTGGATTTAGCAACATGGAGAATCTTGACAAAATGTTTCAGTGGAGTGAGTGGTGGGAGCTGATTGGAGTGAGTCCAAGAGGAAAAATCCTTCCAGAAGTCTTTCTATAAAGCAAAGAAGATAAATGGGCACTACCTGAAAGGAGATGTGGGGTCTAGAGGAAGATTTTAAGATGTGGTGATGGGGGCTTATTTATTTATTA